TAATGTCTTCTCCATTGAATCGCTGTATTAAGTCTTGGTACTTGCGTTCTCACTGGACCAAACTGACTCTGGCATCAAAATAATTGCCTTAATGACAGGCATGAACAAAAATCCCTGCTGCGTGTTCTGTGATAAATGAACTGTTCGTATCAATGTAAATTGCAAATGGATGAAGGTAAAAAAAAAATATTAAAAAAAAAAAATTGTCAGTCAGGACTTGAGTTGAGACAATTCCCTGTAATGTGTTGTAACCCAATCCTAATAGAGATATTCATGGAATAATATGCAACGATATTTTTTTTATTTTTCAGTGTAACGACAACAAAATAAGTAAATGGTCGGACATTGATCAGTTAAGAAATGCTAAAAACCTTGAAACAGTGTATCTGGAGAGGAACCCCATCCATAAAGACCCCGCGTATAGGAGGAAAATAAAACTGTCATTGCCATGGGTACACCAGATTGATGCAACGTTATGCAACTGAGACTATTATGTCAAAACATTTTACAACAGCTCTATCGATTGGTTACATATTATGTTTTTAGTACCTGTGGATGTGACTCTCCAATCAGAATAGCTGTTACTTGATGCAGGTCATCCAATCAGTTTGTGTTTCAATTAATCCTTGTGTATTTACTAGGTACATGAACTTTTAGTAACAGTTTTGTAAATAATGATTAATGTTGTAATACTTAAAAAGGAAAGAGAAGCTTTCTTGTATTTTGACATTGTCTGAACTATATGTATCGACAATGTAAAAGAAAAAAAAAAAAATTTTATTTTTTTCACAAAAACTAATTTAAATAGTTGAACAGCAGTAGGTAATAATGCAAGTTTCAGATTCTATTTCCTTGATTCAAGATTCATATTCATAACTCAGATTCAGAATCCTCTTTTGAAATTAGATTCAGATTCAACCTTTGATTCATATGCCAATTTTTGATTCATATTCTAACTACACATTCAAATTTAAGCTTTGGATCGAGATTCAGGCCAGACTTTTATTATTCCTTGTTTCGCGAACCCGCCGAATAAACAGGAGCTGAAAATGAAATAAAAATAAAATTTTATTTCAGCGTAATTTCTTGAGTCCACCAACTTGTAAGTGCAAAAACTTATTTTTATCTTCATTTTTTTCCGTCCGCTGCATAACAAACCCAAGTTGCATTTTCGTGGGAGTATCATGATCAAAGTACCAAAGTCTCGCGCAGATGAGAAACAAGGTTATACATGGAATACAAATTTATTTCATTTCTTCTCTTCGATCAATGATCTCACTTACAAT